CTTTCACTTTAAAAAGGGGCGGAGACCGGAGGAAACTCTGGGTTTCTCGAACAAAACCTGCTCCCAACCAAGTTAGGTTCACAGAGTAAGTTGCCATAGTAACTGACTCTGAGTTTAGATTACCTCTCTTTTTGAAACGGGTTTAACTTACCCCGCTTTCACGGGTTTAAGTTACCTCCGTTTCTGAAACCGAAAACTCCGACTTTTCCTCATTTCGGGGTTAACAAACTCAGAGTTTCAACAAAACCTCCTTCTTGAAATGGGCCCCAGCACTGTTAGGGAGCAGTTACAGTGAAACAAAACAAGTAACAGAGACTAATGAAAAGAGAAAGTTCAACACAAAACCAAAAACTAAAGGTAGTAAACAAAGTCCATAAATGAGGCACAAGGTGGGAGAGCCCAGAAATTTCTATGAAGCAAACAAAACAGAAAAAAATAATCACTATAAGGTGTGACCAACAAGAGCAAAGCAAGGTGTGGTGCACAGATATACAGCAATTAACTGAGGGAAGTGAGGAGAATATATAGGGTGAGACACAACAGGTGAAGGCAATGAATGTTAAAGACTAGAGTAAAGCTGAGGCAGGTGAGGATGACATGGACAGGAAAAAAGTTTTCAAAATAAAAGTACAGAACATGAAGTAGTCCCAAACCATGACAAGAAATTTATGTGCAACTACTGTATATAGTACAATCTAGCTTTATTGTAAAGCATCTTGAAATGATGAAATTTGGTTTGAGTTAGAGATTGAATAATGTTGGATTTCTATATACAGTTTGTGTTCACAAAGAAATGTATATAATTTAGAGGGGATATTAAAGATGCTGGGTGTCATGATTCAGCAGTGCAGTGTAGCCTTTTGGCCTTTTTTAGCTTATTGATTTGGTTTAACAGTACATTTATTGCTATGTATTGTTTGTGCACACAGTTCTAATGTGTTTAAAAAGTAGGCAGCACATGAGACACTAAAATATTTTTACATTTACTGAATAATGCCAGCTTGAGACAGTCCCATTTTACCAATGACAGATGACTAGTCAGCTGACAACTGAACAATTCAAATAGAAGAGACAGGTACTTACAGTGTGTGATATCAGGAGCTCCATAGGGGTCTGATAGGTAGACATTGGTGGGCTTTCCCACCTTCAAGTAAACCACGTCAGATGTGTTCTTCAATATAGTCACAGCTTCTTCATGAGAGACTTCCTCCAGACTGTAGTTGTTTACCTGTCCAAACAAAGAACAGTCTTAGTGTGGTCAGTCAGGGGTTTTAGAGACTGCCTTGTGTTTTTTACTGCTCAGTTCAGATCAGCTCACTGCCTCAAGGAAACTGGATTATAACAGAAGGACTCTGGGTGAGAACACAACAGGTGGAAGGTAATTACATTAAGTGCTTGCTATTCAAGAGAGAGCTTGTTGTTGCGCTACTTAGCCAGTAGGTTCCTGCTTTGTTGCAGGAAAATATATATATAAAAAAATTCCTCACTCGCCCCCCACTTTGGGGCGGTCTTGTATTCCTTCCTTCAAGCTCAGGTCCTCTACCAGAGGCCTGGGAGCTTGAGGGTCCTGCACAGTATCTTAGCTGTTCCTAGGACTGCACTTTTCTGGACAGAGCACTTAGATGTTGTTCTCGAGCTTCTCGTATTCCTTATTCCTGATGTTGCTATCACTTGGGATTGCTACATCTATCACTACGGCCTTCTTCTTCTGTTTGTCCACCACTACTATGTCCGGTTGGTTGGCCATTACCAGTTTGTCAGTTTGTATCTGGAAGTCCTACAGGATCATAGCTTGGTCATTATGCCAGCGGGGTACCTGATGACCGGCAAGGCGTAGGTGTTAATTGCCTGGACTCCACTCAGCATTCATGCTACTATACAAGTAACCCCAGAGTTATATGCAGAGGATGTGGGACCTATGGATACTTTATAACCCAACATCTAGATTAACATCGAAACAACTTGTAGCTCAGTGCTCTAACATCCACAAGATGCACCTGCTATCACAACTAGAGATTGACGAAGTACAACATGAATGCTACAGCAAGGGGGAGCCAGGACGCCAGGTCAGGGGGAGATACTGTATCATCATCATCACCCCTACTATCGGAGATTGGGAACTAAGCCTCACTAACAGGTCCAGATGAGCTTGATTCAAGAGCTCTTTATTCAAGAGCAGCTGACCTGGTCTTGCGGTATCTACCAAGGAGATGCTCTCATAGCTTGGTCATTATGCCAGCGGGGTACCTGATGACCGGCAAGGCGTAGGTGTTAATTGCCTGGACTCCACTCAGCATTCATGCTACTATACAAGTAACCCCAGAGTTATATGCAGAGGATGTGGGACCTATGGATACTTTATAACCCAACATCTAGATTAACATCGAAACAACTTGTAGCTCAGTGCTCTAACATCCACAAGATGCACCTGCTATCACAACTAGAGATTGACGAAGTACAACATGAATGCTACAGCAAGGGGGAGCCAGGACGCCAGGTCAGGGGGAGATACTGTATCATCATCATCACCCCTACTATCGGAGATTGGGAACTAAGCCTCACTAACAGGTCCAGATGAGCTTGATTCAAGAGCTCTTTATTCAAGAGCAGCTGACCTGGTCTTGCGGTATCTACCAAGGAGATGCTCTAGGACTGAACCCCCTCAGCCAGATCATCACCAAGAATGTTTACGGATACCGACTACAGAATGGAACAACATCAGCCACCTCCTCTACGTGGATGACATCAAGCTGTATGCCAGGAGTGAACGAGACATCAACTCACTGATCCAATCATGCGGAGAGTTAGGAAAGTCTTAAGAAGTCAGCTGAATAGAAAGAATAAAGTCCGGGCAATTAACACCTACCCCCTGCCAGTCATCAGGTACCCTGCTGGCATAATAAGCTGGTCAAAGGAGGAGATAGAGGCCACTGACATCAAGACAAGAAAGCTCCTTACAATGTACGGCGGGTTTCACCCCAAGTCCAGCATCCTGAGACTGTACATTAAGCGGAAGGAAGGAGGCCGAGGTCAGAGCCTCTATCCAGGATGAAACAACAAAGATCCATGAATACATCAGGAAGCTCTTTATTTGACTGCCTGAATGATATCAAATGATAGCACTCATCAAAATTTTTTACACTTGTTTGTAGTCCTGTTGACCGTAATATCTGTGACCTTAGCTAAGGCTAAGAACTTCCTTTCTTTTGACAACCTTGAAGAAGCAATTCATGCATTTGCTACTTCCAGGCTCGATTACACTCTGTAACCCCAATTCTCTGCTCCCACCATTGACTTCTTGTGCAGTGCAGGATCACTTTTAAGATTTTGCTTTTTCTTTTTAAAGCCTTGAACAGTTTTTGGAATCATCTTCTGTTTGAGCTTCATTCTGCTTCTGATCTTGCTGCCTTCTGCTCACTTCTGAAAACCTATTTATTTAAGCGGATGTTCATTATTATTTATATAAGCTGATGTACTAACTAAGGTTTTTCTGTATGTTTCTTTTTGTATGTAGTATTTACCTTAATTCATTGATGTCTGATTTTGCATAATGCTGTTTGTTTCATGTTGTTCTTTCGCTTTTGTTGTGTAATTTCTTTTGTAAAGCACTTTATAAAGATGGTTATTGTTACTTAATTATTGCCAGCATATCAGGTACTCACCATTAACAATCTATCTCCAACTTGCAGCCGGCCATCCTTCTGTGCTGCACCACCATCAATGATTTTGGTGACATATATGCTGTTGTCACTGGGGATGTGCTGATTTCCAACTCCACCTGCAATACTGAAGCCCAGCCCTGTGAATGCGTGCATTGGTATATATAAAAATAGTTTCATGGTTATATAACAGATGTCAAGCATCAGACAATACATGACACCATGATAGGATGATGTGTATCATGATATGCAGTATATGTATCCAAATATTTTTATAATATTAAGAATATTTTTATGCCAACATGGCGCAGATGCTGCATAACATGTCCAAATATATGTACATTTGATGTTTTCTGACACTTTTTTTGGACAGTTGATTAGTTTTACAGTAAAGTGAAAAGATGCAAGTGCTAGTTTCATTTTGACTGATCTATAAAAATCTCAAACACATTTATAAACAAAGCAACACATTTTCATTTGGATTAACACTCTCCCTCTGATAGACTATGTACCACCAGATTCTTACGTTGAATCAAGGAAAACCCTTTTTTCACTCTGTTCATCTACAGCAGGGGTGGCCAATCCAATCCTGGTCCTTGAGGACAGCTCTGCTTGTTTTCCAACAATCCCTGTCCTACTCACTGTTGATTGCCTGGACTAGGTGTTTTCATTCAATCAGAAGCTGGAAGTCACTTTCATTCCTCACTCCACCTTCATCTAAGACTGGGATTGGCCACCCCTGAGCTATAGCATGGTCAAAAAACTAAGATTTAGTTGCAAGTGATTGATTTTAATTATTTGATAATTATTAATATATTAATTAGGATTAATCAACCTAAATGTGATTTTGGATGTTTTGACTTAGCAGGATGTATGAGCTCACCTTTTGGTCCTTTGATTAGTTTGATCTCAATGATGGTTTCTAGCATTGGCCTGCGGCGACGCACATACAGTCGCACAATAGAACCTGCGACCTTCAGGGCTTCTACTGCCTTGCTGTGAGAAACTTCAGAAACATCTGCATCATTTACCCGCAGGATGCAGTCATTTACTCTGGACGAAGAACAGAGTGGATTTGTGATGATAATGACTGGAAATAATTAAAGCAAGGCTACACTCATCACATTCTACTCCTCAAAACCTGCCAGCATGTCTGTGTATACAAGGCAGATACAAAGCAGCCACTGTGAGAAAAGAGTTCAACCTGAAAGCTATACATGTTTATCCAAAAAGCAATTCAGGTACATATAAATCATTGGTAAGTTTTGTGAATACATACGGTTTATGGTAGGGGCAGTCATCTTACTTTAGCAAACAGTTCAAATGCCAGTGCATGTAGCAAAAGGGCTGTACTTGATCTCCTCATTAAAGCAGGGATGTGTTTTGGGCATAAGATGCAATTATCCCATCATTGCTGAACCTCACATTCCCTTTAAGAGATGCACGTGTCTGAATGTTTGACAGATTTCTAGGAAACTGGTGGACTTGACAGGTTGGATTTGAGTAAGATTTTTCACTGAGGAGACAGAGCTGCTCATGCACAAAGTGAAGGCACACAATCACTAATCAAAATGGTATTTATTATAAATACATATATATTGATGTGCACAACACCCAATGAACACAGTCATCTTTTTGTTTTTTAAGTTTTGCATGTCCTGCGCAGTATGTCCAAGGACAAGTGTGTATCACAACATGGTCAGAGTGCCCATGAACTAGAAATGACAATTACACTGTTAACCGACAGACCTGGTTTTTGGTGGTCAGTGGCACGGTCACATTGTGTGCCCCCATATTACCAACACACCAAACATTTACCTGCACACAACCTGTTGTCTTCTGGAAACATCTGCCGGCATGAAACCAAAAGACTACTGCTTGGTAAAAAGGCAACATAATGCGCATGTCATAAAAATGAAAATCGTGCAAGCCAGAAATTAGGAAACACAGACACATCACCTGCACCACACACCATGCGTAAGTTGCAAGATAGGGTCCTGTGTGTGTTGGTTAGCAGTACTGTATGTCATATTTACTCACAGTAGTGATCTTTCTGTATGTACATGTGTGATTGCAGGCAATGTTGAGCATATTATATGTATTACGTTTGGTCATGCCCACATTTGACACCTTGCTTCCCCTACATCTGAGCCACCCATGCAGTTTTCCAGACTTTATTATTTTATGATGTGCAGGTGTCTACAATAAAAACCAGAGATGCTGTAGTGGGAATTTTATGGTAGCACCTGTAGAAAGAAATTCTTGATAAAATGATATAGTGCTATGTTATGTATTTGCAAAACTTCAAATAATTGTTTAATCTGTTTGACCTTTGTAAAGATTTGACATGTGGACATGGAATGCTTTGAGAGGTGCAGAGAGACTCAGAACAACATACATACTGAGATGACTAAACTGTCTGCACAAGAATAGTGTGTGGGTGTAAGGTCTGATTGTCTTGGCTTCAGATTATCAACATTTATCTTCTACAGACTGGGTTAGACACTCTCTTTAGAGATAGCTCCTTCCTGCAGGAATAAATATGTAATAACTCTGAGTTGATGTTAAGTTTTTATTTTACACTCACTGAGCTTTAATAGATAATTTTGCCACAACAATGCAACAATAAAAGTGGGGTTTCACGTGGGAACAAGTTAGCCATTATGTTTTTTAATCATCAAAGGATAATAGGCTTTCCTTAGAAACAGGTCTGAGCACCACCACCATCACAGAGTAGGACTGACACATCCAGAGGAGTGCAGAGCTGAAGAGTGCAGAGCCAGAGAAAGAAGAACGGGAGCAGAGAGCTGGAGTGCTGAGTCAGGGGATGGACACCTGGTGAGTGCAGAGCCATAGAGTCGGGTAGCGTATCGCGAAGCAGCTGAGTGTCGAACACAAGGACGGAAGCATCAGTGAGTAGACGAATTTTTTTTTCTTTTTTTACCAAATCCTACAACAGGTCTCTCATCACAGACAACATTTTATCTAAACAATGGCTTAAAAAAAAAGACTTATGGACACATCCTCCAGAGTAAGGAGATTAAATCCAATATACAGCGTGGGCCCAACAAATCCAGCGGTGTCCCTCGCGTTTCTCCCCAGGCTATGCTGTCTCAAAACTGGCAAGCTCTCTGATCCCCACCCACTCCTCAGGAGGGCAGTGTACTAGCATCTCTCGCCGTTCAAATGACAGCCATGTACAATGGGTAAATCATGTCCCATTAGTAGCGAAAAAAATTCTGAGGTTAGTGAAGAACAAGTAAGATATTCCACAGCAGCGACCAGCTGATCCTCTTCCTGGCTCCCTAATGCCTCACAGCCAGGCTTCCCTTGATCCACCATCCCTCCATTCAAGCAGCAGGAGCATGTCGGGACATGTACTAGCATTTTTCACTGTTTTTATCTTCCCATTGTCCATATTTGGTAACATGCTGTCTTCACAGACCAGAGAACTCTGTGCAAAATGAGTTTTTCAAGATTTTAAAGTAGTGGGGGACACTGCACTGATGGAGGAGTAGAGAGGGCAATGTTTGTATTTCCTTATTTCTATAAGCTAAAGTAGATAATTCTTTTTTTTTTATTCAAAACTACCAGTGTTCCCACATGAAACCCCACTCTTATTGTTGCCATCTGTGGCTTTTATTGTAGACACCTGCAAATCCTAAAATAATAAAATCCAGAAAACTGTGGTTGGCTCATGAGCGGGCGGAAGCAAGGTGTCAAATATGGGCGTGGTCAAAAAGCCATAAATGATCCTTTCACACCTCACTTTGACAGAAGGGGTACTTTTGTACTTCCTACGTGATGTGTGATAGGGAAACAATGTGAATTGGATTATGTGTGACACTTGTGCATATGGGCAAGCACACCCCTGAGGTGTCAACCAATACAGCCACGCCCTGGCCCTCACACCCAAACACCTAGCCCAGCTCTCCAGAAGGGTGTTCATGGGGACCAGCTGGGACCCAACACAACACACACACACACCAGAGGGAAGCGGAGCAAAAAAAATTTTTAATACTTACAAATAATTTCTCATGGCATTAAACATATTTTTTCTGTTTCAAAACTACTAATGATATATACAAATTAGAATTCTCATCCTTCATACTGTGATAAAGCATTAAGATAGAATACCTACAGTAAATTATTTTATACTTAGTTTTAGTAGGTCACATAAATATATGTATATGAATATTGCATACCAGTGTGCAATATTCAAAATTGTTTTACTTTGTTGTATCTTTTTATATTGATAAAACTTTCTCTAACTTTTCTGTTCTTATCACTGAGTGCCTTGTTTCTATCCCTTTGTTGTTGTAGCTTTGTGAATTTCACCAGTGTCAGGCCAAAAATATCCACATCCCTGCATTTTTGCAGAAAGTTGTTGCAATCACAAATTCTTTGGTATTCTCATGTTTATTTCTTTTGTTTGCACTGGAACAACTGGACAGAATTTGACACCTTTTCAAAATCACCAGAAATTGTTGTATTTCCAGCTTGTGATGCTTCTTCAATTTGTAATGAAACTCACCTGTAGCAACCAACAGGCGCTGGCAATGTAGAAATCACACTGGCAACCAGTTAAAATGGAGAAAAGTCGACTCAACCTTTGTGTTGTGTGGACCACACTGAGCATGGACAAAAGAAAGAAGAGCAAAGAAATGTCTGAGGATTTGATAACCACAGTAGTGGAAAAGTCCATCTCCAGTTGTGTCCACTGTTCTGTAGCTAATCTCCTGGATGTGGACGAAGGAGGAAAATAGATGTCAGATTGCAACTGTTGGTCTTTGGTTCTTGTTACCATTGCTAACTCTGAGAGACGAGACAGTCCAAGTAACTTCAAAGCAGTGCTGATTTATTCAAAGGATCACAGGTAAAATTAACATTACACGCTCAGGTATCTTGCACCTCCAAACTGCACGCAGGCAGATGTAAGATGAAAGACCCTGAACCCACCAGGCCTATACATTATATCCC